CCTGATTCCTGGATTCCAGAGGGTATCCTAACTGCTCCCCATGCCTTCCCCACCTGCTGGGATCCTATTGGTAATGGACACTGCTCATTGTCCTCTGTTCAGAGCAAAGTCATCTGAGAATTTGAGGAGATTCCAAAGGAAATGAGCACAAGAATTTGAATCTTATCTCTGCCCACTCAGCAAATACTTCAGATTCCCCGAACCTGTTTCCTCATCCATAAAATGGGAGTGATGATTCTTACAGCACAGGATGACTGTGAAGATGAGGAATGTCACATGACTAGGGGAGAATGGAAAGAAAGCTGTTCACTATAAAATATCAACTAAAGGTTAGGGAGATGGCCTGGTTTGTAAAGTACTTGCCACCCAAGTATGAGGACCAGTGTTCAATCCCCAGAACCCATATGAGAAAGTCAGGTACAGCGGTGTGCACTTGTAATGGGTAGGTAGATCTCTGGGCTTGCTGGTCAACCAGCCTAACTTACTTGGTAAGACCCAGACTCAGAAAACTAGATGGCCGGCTGGCTCCTGAGGAATGATGTCTGAAGTTGTCCTCTGCCCTCCACACCCATGTACATAGGCACAGTTGTGCGTACCCGAATGCTAACTGTAAATAGATTCGGGCTGGAATTAACAATAGATGGTGAAACTCTTGGGTAAAAATGTTATTGGGGCCGATAAGATGGGTAGGTAGATAAAAGCACGAAGCTTGATGACCTAAGCTTGATCTCTGGGACCACATGGTGGAAGGAGAGAATCAACTCTGAAAGTTATCCTCTGACCTCTACACACATAGACATGCCACACACATAAATAAATAAATAAATAAATAAATAAATAAATAAATAAATGTAATTTTAACTTATTTATGTATATGTCTATGTGCCTACTTGTCTATATGTGCACCACATGCATGCAGGTGCCCAAGGAGACCATAAGATGTTGGATCACCTGGAACGAGAGTTACAGGCCATCATGAGCTGCCCTACATGGATATTGGGAACCACCTGGGGCCTCTACAAGTGTTCTTAATCACTGAGCCTTCTCTCCAGCCCCAATAAATGTAATTTTTTAAAACATGCTTTTGGGGGGCTGGAGAGATGGCTCAGCAGTTAAGAGCACTGACTGCTCTTTCAGAGGACCCGAGTTTGATTCCCAGCACCCACATGGCGACTACAAATCACCTTAACTCCAGTTCCAGGGGAATCCGAAGCCTTCTTCTGACCTCCACAGCATTGCACGACATGGGTGCACTCACATACATGCAGGCAATACACTCGTACACATAAAATATAAAAATAACAAAATATTTTTAAAAAAGCAGGCTGAGTACAGGCTAGACAAACAAGTCAATAAGCACATTCCTCCATGATCTGTGCTTCAGTTCCTGCATCCAGGTTTCTGCCCTGTGTTCCTGCCTGACTTTACTAAAAGATAGACGGTGCCGTGGAAGTGTAAGGTAAAATAAACCCTTTCCCCAAGCTGGTTTTGGTCAGTGTTTTATCACAGCAATAGAAAGTAAGCAGGACACTCACTGAACTAGAAGCTCACTATTTCAGCTATGCTGGGTAAACAGTAAACTCCTGGGATCTGCCTGTCTCCTTCCCACCACTGTGATTACAGCCACATGCAGCCACGCCAGTTTTTGATGTGGGTGCTGAGGATTGGAACACAGATCCTCATGATTGCACAGCAAACACTCTGGCCTACTGAGCCAGCTCCCCAGCACAGTCTGTTTTATCATAGGTAGGAACCCCTTGAGTGATAGTCTCAACAAGTCCCTGGTTCCCTGGTTCCCTAAAAAAAGTGGCAGCTTTGGATTGAAGCAGCAGAAGACGGAGAGGCCTCCGGGCCTATTTGGGAACCTTTTTGGGGTAGAACAGGGATGACTCAGATGGTGTGGGAGAGGCAGAAGGCAGAGGCTTGAGTCGGCCCTTTGGCAGAAGGGACAGCCCTCTATGCATCAGTTAATCATCTGGCCTCAGTTCCTCTAGCTGTGAAAAGGGGCGAGGCTGTGCACCAGGTGGGGCTCTGGTGAGACAGATTAGAAAGCCTTGCACAAACAGGAGCCTGCTGCTGCGTGTGGAGCTGTCTGTCATTGCTCAGAACCAGCTGGAGTCTGGGCCTGAGAGTACCAGGCCTAAGAAACGTGTTAGGACGGGACACAGGGGTAAATGTAGGTGCCCTCAGGGCTGGCTCCCTCTCTGAGGACTCTGGGTGAGACATGTGGCTTCCAGCAGGGCTGAGAGCTGAGATAGGGCAGGTCTGGGCTGGGAAATAAGGACTGTGAGCTGCTCAGAAACATCTCCCCTGCACCAAACCCCAGGACCAGTGGTTTCCCAGAGCATGCTAGGAAGGCTGTGCAGCTGAAGCAGGGAGTTTGGGGTTGACGTGTAAAGGGAACAAACTATTGTATAGCTGTTCTTTTTGTTTGTCTCATCAGGCCATAGTCCTTGAAGGTTCCCACTTTGCTTTATCCTGCCCACATTCTCCCCATTTTTCAGGCCACAGGGTGGGGGCTCTGGAAAAAAATAAAGTGGAGGTGAGGGAGTGCTCAGACTGGTCTGACTTGCTAGATAACCTAGATTGGATGACGAGCTTCCCCAGGCCTCAGTTTACCCAGAATTCATAACACAGAGTCCATCCCTGCCATGCCTGCCTCTGAAGAGCCATGGAAATGTGGGGAGGAAAGAGCCCTGTTTTGGAGGTTGTCGGATGTGTGTTCAAATCCTGGCACTGCTGTCTGCTAGTGGTCATAGGAGCCTCCTTATCTCATGACTTCCTAGCCTGGGCAGGTGGCACCATCCACTGAGCAGGATATCGCAATAAACTGAAACAAAAAAAAGGTACAGATAGGACTAGAGAGATGGCTTAGTCAACAAAATGCTAGTTTTGCAGGCACAGGACCTGAGCTCACTCCCCAGAATTGACATTTAAAAAGCCACACATAGTAGTACACACTTGTGATTCTAGTGCCTTGGAGACAGAAACAGGAGGATTCCTGGGGTTCTCTAGCCAGCCAACCTAGCCTGCTTGGTGAATGCCAGGCCAAGAGGGAACCTATCGCAAATTAAACAAAAAAGGTGGATAGCACCTTGGTCCTACACATGTACACACACACACACACACACACACACACACACACACAAAGTACAAATAACCAACATGTCATTGTTTATTGGTTTATTAGCTTTCTTGCCAGAATGTCAGCCCCATGATGCTGGGATTTGCCCTTATGCACTGCTGCACCCTAGCACCCCAGGTGGCCCCTGGCATTCAGTAGGAGCTTCCTAAATAATCATTGTTTGTTGGTTGGTAGAATGGATTTATTGGCACTTAACGGTTGCCATTGCAGTCCTAATGTGTGCTCAGATGGGAAGCATTGAAAGCTCATGGTGTTTGGGAGAGGAAACCTTGGAAAATGAGATCTCCAGGGTTGGTACAGTCTCTGTGGTCATCCAGGCAATGGAGGATACCAGACCAGCTGGGTTCAACTAAACCAGGGGACAGGTTCTACATGCCCATGACATCTGGACAGGAGCATGTACAAGGTGAGGGACAGCAGAGGACACTGGGCCAATTAGAGAGCCCCATGCAATCTGTCCAGTGGAGCTCCCTATACTGGCAGCCAGGTGGGGATGCAGGCCCCATTTGCCAGTGCAACTGATTTTTAAAGAAAAAAAATTAGAAATCTAGAGGATGACATTTCTAGAAGAAAACACACACAAGACAGCAAACAAAATTCATCCATGGGCTGGGAGGTGCTATAGCCTGATTGTCTCAGGCAATGTGACTCCTGGGAATGATCTCTATGGGGGTCCTTATATGTCCAAACCTCTCAGGAAATCCCAGTCCCTTATACATGAGACTCAGCTTGCTGGAGAAGCTGATATACCATCCAGATGGAAAAGCCAAGGTCACACACAGCAAGGAATGAAACTACCTCTCTGAGTTCCTGGGCTCAAGGCAGGTCCACTCCTCAGGGCCCAAGTCAATATTCACTCACCATCCTCTTTGTGTGGCTTTGAGTACAGCTCTCTGTTTCTGGGCCAAAGTTGAAAAATGGGCACAGTAGAATGGCCTCACCTAACTTCACAGGGATGGTGAGGAAATCAAGGGAGAGTAAAAAGAGAGAAGGGTCTCTGAAAATGGAAAGTGCTTTACAAGTCCAGGTGTGGTCATCCTTGCTGTCATTGTTATTATAAGCAAAACCCTTTTGCCAGAGCAGGATGGTGCCTGGGACCCAGAAGCAGAGGATCTACAGGCTTCACAAGGAAGATCTAGTTCAGGCTTTTAGGGTTTATCACAGAGGGACATGTGCTCACCAGCTCCAAGACAGACTTTCATGGGACACCGGAGCTGTGTGGCCTCCCCCAGCTACCGGGCACACAGCTCTGTGAGGGCCCCAGGCAGACTCAGCTATGTTTCCCCAGACAGAGGCTTCTGGGAAAACACATGAACCCTACATGTGCTGCCCAGGAAATAGAAAAACTATATAAATAACATAAATACTTTCCCATATAGCTTAGCTATATAAATTACTTTCTAAAATCTATATATGTGAGGTAGACAGAAATACCCTGTGAACATCTCCCTTAAAGTTGCAGACTGAGGGGGGCCCAGCATGGCTGTGGTGGGTCTTTAGGGGAAAAAGAAAGAAAAAAGGCCTGGGAGATAGGAAGAATGGAGGGAGAGGACCTGACAGAGGGTACCCTGGGGCATCAGTGTTAGTGGCCAGCCATAGCCTAAGCTTCAAGTCCAACTTTGATCCTCCTGCACCCCCAGACTTGCTGGCCATAGGGTCCTGGGTGCAGGTGGTATGGTGGTGGGTCAGGGTGTTCTGGTCCCCAAGTTGTTCCAAACCCCTCTTCTTGCTGGTGTGGTCTTCTGCCAGAATAGAAGCAAGTAGGGGTCAGAGAAGGAAAGGACACATCAGGCTGCCAGGGAACAAGTCTCCATGTAGCAGGGAAATAGAAAACCAGCCCTTGATCCATCTTGATCCATTTTTTCTCCTACCAACCTGTGGGTAGCCTGTTTGGGTTAACAAAGTCATTCCAGGGAAGGGTCTCAGGCCATTGTGGCTCTTCCTTGGAGCCTCTGCCATCAAAGATCCTTCCAGTATCCTCAGGCTGCCCTGAGCCACTGAAGATAGGGTAGCCCCTCCTTGCCTATGGAGGTCTTGGCAACAAAGCCTCCTTCCTGGAGTTGGCATCATCGAGGTTACTGAGCACCCATTGATTTTGAAGTTTCCTGTTCCATTGGAGGGGCAGCAACCCCGGGTTCAGGATGGAAGGAAGCTTACAGGAGGGTGTGGCCCAACTAGCCAAGCAGCCAAGAGCTTCCCGAAGGAGGTCACTTCCTCCTGGCTGGCCTCAGGCTCTGCTCTGGAGAAGCACATGGCCTCCAGTAGAGTGACCTGGGTGAGGTCTTTGTCCTGGGCTGGAGAGATGTGCAGTCCTCCGTGGGAAGCCTGTGCCTGGCTGGACTGCATGTGTGCATCTGTGCGAGCCTGTATGTGTGCACTGGTTTCTCTCTTTACACAGGGGGCCTTGGTAGGGGGCACTGGAAAGAGCCACAGGGTCCAAGGAAATTAGCAGTCACTTCTATTCATCTGGTAGGAGTCCAAATAAGGAGCCATTAATAAATGAAGGGGGCCACTGAGGAAGCAGGTATAGTGAAGACTCAACCAGGACGAAAAGCCTGCATTTGATAAGCATCCTTGAGAGCGGAGATATAATCAGCAGGTGTTGGGGGGCTCATAGCCCTGGTGGACCCTGGTCACAGGGAGCTGGTAGAACACACTCCAGGGTGGGCTGGGACACCAAGCCGGCCATGTCCCTCCTGAGCACCAGGACACTACCACCCTCCTCTGGGCTGTAATTAACAGCCTTTGGCCATCAGGGAAAAGGGAAGAGATCACTGTCTCTACATTCAACCAAAGCCGCAGCATCTGAGTCCCATGGTGCAAACTGAGTCCTGCACCTTTCTTACGTGTGTTAGTGGGAGCGGGGCCGGGGGGAGTCTCATAGTGCAGGGTTGGATGACTGTGGGGGACTCAGCTATCAAGACAAGGAGATAAGGAGACAGTCCTGAGTTCCAGGACATTGGGCTTCCAGAAATGGGCTTTGTGACTTGGTCCACCCAAGCCTAGAAAGGTTTCCTTGCTCTCAGCAAACTGTCTGAACAGTCTCCAGCACAGCAAAGCCACTGGAGCAGAGCAAGCATGTGGCATCCAGAGCTCCTTCAGAGTGGAGCCATGCTCAGCTGGATGCCCGCCTGTGCTCCAGCTGTCTCTGCCTCCCTCCTCTACATCCTCCCAGCAGTTTGTGGCCTTGAGATGGGATGACTCTTCTCTCCTCCTGCCAGCCTCCCTCCTGTCCTCCCCCGACACTCATGTGTAGTTCCTCTCTTCTTAGTTCACCCTCCTGTTCCGAGTCCAGGTTGGGGATCATGGGGCTTGGGGACAGAGCTTTGCTGCTCTCTGCTGAGGGCTGAAGAAGGCAGAAGGCTGGCTGAAGGTTTGTGGGGCCAGGGAAAAGAGATGAATGGTACACTCTTGTGCATGGCACAAGCATCAGCGTGTGCTTGCACAGGGTTCAGCAGGAGTCCTGGCAGTGCCACGGCTCACCTGGTGGCAACTTAGCGCTTACAGGTATACACAAGCTCCTGCTGTGCACACTGCTGGCACTCCACGTAACAGCACCACTGCACCTGGCAGTGGCAGGAGAAGGCCACCAGGCGGCTCTGGGTGTCATAGCCCCGCCCACAGCATAGGCTGCTGCAGCTGGCATCACGGGAGCACACCCTTCCAGCTGTGCCAGGAGAGTACTTGCTGGGCCGGCAGAAGCTGGGAGAATCCTCCATGTAGACCAGGTCCCCTGGCCGGGGTGGCAGGCCCTTAGCCGGGCCACCTGGCTTGGCAGGTGTCCATAGCTCCAGGCGATCTAAGGCCTCATTGGTGGCACTAGATACCTTGACAGCTGTGTCATAGCGCAGCTTCAGCACCTGGCCTGTCTCTCGGAATGGGGAGAGCTGCTTCCAGCAGGTACGCACAGCACAGGAGCCTGACACTCCATGGCACTTACAGGTAGTCCTGAGGCCACTCTTTACGGCCTGTAGAGAAAAGCAGAATTGAGACCTGGTCAGTGGCCTGTGGCCCACCAACCCAAGCCTGTCCCACAGTACCAATCCTGCTGGAGAGTATGGACAGAGTGACAGTACAGGAAAACTCATGAGAAGGTGACAAACAGGACCAGAGCCTGCCCTTGAGGCAGCTCTGTGCAAATTAGATCTTCCTTCCTTTGGGCATGCACACCTTGACATGGGCAGTGTAGGTCAGATCTTAGCTCCTAGCTCCTCCCTTTGGCCCAGAGATCTGGTAGAGTGTACAGGCCTCACCACTGAACACAGACACCTTGGTTTACTCAAGCCAGGGACAAAGACAGAGAGTTCAGTTTCCTAAAGAATTGGAACACTAGGCTCCCCTGTCTTCTTACTCCAGTAGACCTAGAGACTTATTACTCTCAGTTCTCTCACAACTGTGTGACCTTGGACCACATCAAAGTTGTCAAATGATGTTGGCTTTGCCCTTGGAATGGAGACCATTCACCAAACACATTCCTACTTTATCAAGGCCTGGTGCCAAGCCTGGCTCCACTTTAATGATGCCCAGGATCCTATACCCCTAGTGTTCAGTAATGGTCCAGAGAAGCTCACCTGAGGGGATGAAGTGTCTAGGGCGAGGTGCCAGCCTCCCGTGGATCTTGCTCCCTGATTCTGCACCCTGCCTGGGGCAGCACTTTGGACAGCAGGGTACTCACTCACCTTGATGCCTACATGGGTGTTGTGGGCATCAGCTCGAGCCCGTAGGTCTTTGCTTCCTCTCTTGGGCCCCAGGAAGTTACTCAGAAACTTGGTGCTGTACTTGAGGTTGTCACCACACACACCCCACTGCCAGGCCTGCCGACTCTCCAGGCCAGGGGAGTCGTCACAGGTACAGCGCTCCATGCGACCGGCACTGCAAGCCCGGGCTAGTGCATGCGTGAGGGCGGCCGCAGACACTGCGTACAGGAAAGCTGTCTCCTTGAAGCCTGTGCAGGAGAAGAGGACGTTTAGAGGCAATCTGCAGCCCTCCGAAGGTAGGTGCAGAGTGAACAGGATTCGGGAGTGTGAGCCCAAGGACACAGCTGTGTGAGGCTCCCCTGTTACCTGCCCCTCAGACTCAGGCTGCATTCTGTCACTTAAATGGCCTCTAGATTTGTGTCCACCTCCACAGAGAACAAGAAGACAGGGCTGCTGACCCCAGTAACTTATGCAAAAAGTAAGTTGGGTACCTGGGGAGGGGTCAGGCTGAGGCTAAGCAGTCATTTTTACTCCAAATGCCTTTGTGACTACTTTGAAAAACCTGTCTCTGGGGTTCCTGAGCCCCTGAGAGATGCCCCATGGGCTTCTTGGTTTCCTAGTGTCTCTCAAATGTCCTTTGCCACCATACTGAAATGACTCAAAGACATGGTTTCGTGGGGGCGGGGTCCTTCCTGATACCTACCCAGTACTGGGACCACCACTATGCTCACACTGTTGGAAGAGGGCCCAAACATGCCTCCTCAGGCTCACTTCCTTCTGCTCTCAATGCGCCTGGAGAGCAGCTGGCCTGCAGAGGGGCTAGCCACCCCAGTGACCATCATTGCATTTTCACAAAAGTCTCCATTAGAGATCCGAGCATCGTGGCCTAAACTCCCAACACTTGGGAGGCTGCGGCAAAACTACTGCTGAGTTTGAGACAAGGCTGGGCTATACACTGAGTTCCATGCCAGCCTGAACTACAGAGACCTTGTCCCCCAAAACAAACAACAACAACAAAAGTCACCATGTCACTTCCACATGGCAATGGAGTCACAACAGGACCTGTTTTCTCCCTTCTAGAAGATGCACTACCTTCCAAGCTGCCAGGTGACATTCAGTCTGCATCTCCAGCCCCTCACAGAGTGCCTTGCTCATTGTGAGCCTCTGCAGATAGTTGGCAGATGGATGAGGCAGGGGTGGATGAGGAAGAGGGGGGAGGCAGGTGGGAAGGGAAGGGAAGGAGGGAATGACATCAACAGATGTGATGAGCAGAGACAGATGAACACACAGACAAACGAACTCGCCTACCTCTCACATTTGTGACTGGGGCCACCTGCCTCCTCTGTCATCTGTTCCAGGAATGCTGTGTCCTTTCCTCTCGTGTTATCCTTGCTCCTCTGCTCCCCAAAATTACTCGCCTTCAACAGAACCTTACCAACTCCCCAGGGCTCTTATTTGGGGCTGTGCCCTGGTAGCCCAGGCAATGAGGCCATCCCACCTCCTGCCTGCCGCTTTTCCTCCCTCCCTCCGTTAGCTTTCCTAGGCCTCCTCTCCCCTCTCAATCCTTCCCAAACCCTTCCACCCCCCTCAGTCCTCCTCCTCCCTCTCAGTCCTCCTTGCCCTCCTCTCTACCTCTCTTGAGCAGGCCAGTCCTCCCCTCCAGGCTGCAGTTCCACCGCTCCTGTCGGAACTGGAACTGGCATTCCAGCAGGCCGAGGTGTGCAGCATCCCTCAGGGTTTCAGCCAGGCCAGGCTCCCTCCGGCAGAGCTGCTTCTGGCGACGGGATAGCTTCAGCAGGTCACACTGCTTCAGGTGGGCACCACCCTGTGCCGGAGCTGCTGCTGTGCCCAGGCCTGGGAAGGGCGTCAGGACCTCGCGCCCAGTTAGGCTGGAGAGGGCAAGAAGGGAGATAGTGAGCCTTGGGGGTCCTGATCACGGATGGCAAAAGATGACTACCTCTGAGGATGCAGGGCAGGGAGAGGAAGAGGCCCTCTTAGGTGCTTTGTATATTGAGCTTTTGGGTGTCAGGTCAGTATCTCCATTTTATAGAATAGAAAACCAAGGTGTTGTAGTAAAAAAAAAAAAAATGGCACAGAACCTTAAACCCAAGCCTTCCAGATTCCAATCTCTGTTCTTCTTCTTAAAAAACTTGTATTTGGGGGCTGGAGAGATGGCTCAGCGGTTGAGAACACTGGTTGTTCTTGAAGAAGACCCGAGTTCCAATCCCAACACCCACATGGCAGCTAACAACTCCAGTCCCAGGGGATCCAACAACCTCTTCTGACCTCTGCGGGCATTGCACGACGTGGGTGCACTAACCTACATGCAGGCAATACATGTATACACATAAAATTAAAAAATTAAATTTAAAAAACTTTATTTATTTAATATGCATGAGTGCTTGCCTGCATGCATGTATGCACTCAATGTGCAGGCCTAGTGTAGGAAGAGACCAGAAGGTGTTGGTTCCCCTGGAACTGGAATTATAGACAGCTATGAGCCATCATGTGAGTTCTGGGAACTGAACCTGGGTCCTCTGCAGGAGCATCCAGTGCTCTTAATGCTGAACCATCTCTTCAGTCCCCAGTCTCTGGTCTCTGCTCTTCTTAGTCACCCTAGTTTTCCAACTTGATCAATTAGAAGTCATCTGGGGTGCTTAGTAGAAATACAGACTCAGGCTGGGTGTGGTGGTGCATGCCTACAATTCCATCATTTGGGAGTCTAAGGCAAAAGGACTGCCAAGAGTTCAGACCAGCAGGTGCACGGAATGAACAAACAGATTCCCAAAATCCACGCTTCGTAGTTCTGATTCTATAGCTCTGGAGCGGGACCTGGAAATCTCTGCATTTGCCACATTCCCTAGGAAGCTGCTGTGTTCAGGGAAGTTTGGAAAATGTTACATGTGGCATTATTGGTCACTTCCTGTAAGGGGAGTGCCATCTTCCTATAAGGCAGGAAGCACAGGGGGTGCAGATGGGGAGTAAACATCGAGACAAGGTCCCCATATCCCTCTCTCCCTTGCATTATATTGTTGCCTAAGTAAGTACATGCCAACCTAGTTCGTTTCCTGGATCCTAGGTAGATCATCAACCATCTGGCCACTTGGTGCCTGGTACAAAAAAAGAAGCTTAGGAAAAGGAAGAGAGGGAGGAAGGGAGACGGGGAGAGTCTGACTTTCCAGACTTCATGTTCTATATCCAAAGTCACTGATTCTAGACTCAGGCTGTCAAATTCTAAACATAACTCTGCCACATCCTAGCTGTGACCTTAAAGCTTTGGTTTCCTTCTCTGTATACATGGAGACTGATTGTCCTCACCTCCCTTGAGTGCTGGTGGGATTACACCGAAAGGTCCAGCAGGCTGGCTTTCCTGCTGGTCTGGAGTTTCCTTCTCTCCTCTTACATTCTAACTAGGCAATCTCCCTTTGTCCTGACAGTAATCAGAGGCTTTGTGAGAAGGTGATAACTACCTCAGGTAATAGGCATAATTTGTTCCCTCCCCCAGAGCCTCACTGTGACATGGTATTATCATTTCAAGATGTTTGCTGTCCCCTACCCTGGTGCACCCCATGTGGATGGAATATACATCATTGAAGGATCCAGGCTGGAGGAAGCAGCTCCCTTCTGGGACACAATAGCCTCTCAGCCAGGGTAAAAGAATAAAGGTAGAACCTGAAGGGGACTCTCAAAGCTTCTACTTGGATGTGGCACATTTGTTTATACGCCACTGGCCAAGGTAAGCCCTGTGACCAAGCCCTGAGTCATCAGAGAGGCCCTTGTCCTATAGAGCCCACTGCTGTTTGGGGTCACCTGCCTCAGCCAAGGCAATTGACTAAGTGCCACAGTCTCTGTATCTGCTTGGGGAGTAGGAAGCCTCACTAGAAGATGGAGGTCCTGGCCAGGCCCCAGGTGCCCCTGTTGATTCCAAATCCATCAGGTGCGGCCAACCCGGCGTGGAACATATCTCCGAAACACTGAGCACAGACAGATGCTATCGGCTCCCCTGGGCCCAGCCTGGACCATGCTCCCCTCCCAGACAGGGTGAGGGCAGGGGCCGGTTAACCATTAATCTGGGGGCAAATGGGTAAGTTTCCAGTCCACCAAGCCTACACCCAGACCCCTCCCTGTAGCCTGGCAGGAAACCCTCAGAGCTTGACCCTGGGCAGGCAGGAGCAGAGCCTGAGGTCAGCTCCTGCGGGCGAGGCCCCATTTTGACTGGCTTCCAGTGGGAAGGGCAGTTCCAGGGCTGCAGAGAACACAGGGGGACTAGCTATGCAGCCTCTGAAAGGTTCGCCTCTCCACACTAGGTGCTGGTGTAAGGGACAATTTGTCTCACACAATTCCTATTTCAGAAATTAAAACTTCCCTTGTAGGAGCTGATGGCCATACCAGAGAAGGGAATAAAGGGAATTTTGGCCAATGGGGTTGCACATCCTTTAAAGCCTGTTTCAGATTCCATTTTAAGAATAATAGGGGGTTGGGGAGATGGCTCAGAGAGTAAAGGAGCTTGCCATGGAAGCATGAGGACCTAAGTTCAAATGTCCTGAACCTATGTAAAATCTAGACATGGTAGTGCACATTTGTAATCCCAATGCTCCTACAGTGAGATGGGAAGTAGAGAGAGAAAAAAAAAAACTCATGGACCAGCCAGCCTGGCATGCACAGCAGCAAACATCAAAGAGACCCTGTCTCAAACAAAGTAGAAGTCACTGGCGCTCGAAGCCCTCTGATCTCCACGCATGCGCCATAATACACACCCTCCCACACTCATACACATGAATGTGCATCCATACACAACATACCCATGCACACATCATACAAACACATACAAAAGGATAATAGGGCTGGGCTGTAGCTCAGTTGATAGAGTGCTTATCAGGCATTCGGGGAACCCTGGGTTCAATCCCCAGTACTGCAAAACCATTATTTTTAATCTGGGCATAGCCCAAGGTCATTCTAAGTGACAATAATAAGTTCTAGAATTGGGGTGTAGCTTAGTTCAATGGTAGTGTTTGCCTATCATGAGCAAGAGCAAGACCCTAGGTTTGATCCCCAGCACTGCAAAAAAAGAAACAAAATAAAAGGAATAGCTACTATTATTTTATCACCATAACAATATTACATGTCATACTATGTAATACATTAAAATATTGCATTTATTATGTGTTGTTGTACATAGGTTTCAGAGTCCTACATATGGTTATATAAGTGGGTCTGTTGCCACCGATTTCTTCTATCATGATTATCATACAGTCCCTGTCCCTCATTGTATGTATGGCACATGACCAAGCAACTCTGATCTGTTAATTAGATCCGTGATGAACACTTGACTGAAGCTGAATCAATCAGTCTCTCTGGGAATCTGGAATTTGAATGAAGACAACATACTCTTGCTTTTCCACCCTTCCTCTCCTTGGGTGACTAAGCCTGGGACCCAGAAGATAAACAGAGGAAGCTGAGCCAAGGCGGGAGAAGACGGAGGAACCCAAAGTCTTCCTCAGGGGCTCTGTGCTCTTGCCTAACACCCCAGCTGCACCCCATCCCACCCCATCCTGCACTGTGGAGTCAAGGCTGAGAATTGCTTGGTCTCACTAAGGTCATTGCCAGTCATTCTAACATGTTGCAGCTGGCTACAGAGTAACAATTCCCTGGGCTGCGCTCATGAGCCAGGCTCTGCAAATGTTCTTCCACTCATCAATAGGGACCTGTTTTTTTAATTTCATGTAATAGACCCTGAGATTGATGGCTCTAGAAGTCCAGTATAAAGTCTGTTAATTTTATTAGCGGTAATGATACTTAGTAGTGATTAATGGTCAGGAAAGGCGACCAACCGCACAGAGGCCTCAGGCCTGGCTGGACCCTAGTCTACCCATAGCTGCTCTCAAAGAAGGATTCCCAGCTCTGTCATGAGGTCCCCACCAGGCCCAGGAGGACTCCTGGGACTAGGTGTCCTTTTTATAAATATATATAGAGAATATATATATATATAGAGAGAGAGAGAGAATATATATATATATATATATATATATATTATACTGCAGTTTGGGGTCGCTCTAAAGAAATAGTACCATGGCAGCAAACTGAGGAAAAGGCTCACCTATTTCCTTACCAGGGCTAGTGAGGTCCTGTCTGCCTCTTATTCCATGTCATCTGCAATGGAAGGTTCTGCCTGACTCCAGAAGAATCCTGAGTATTGTAGATTTCTGCCCTTTCAGTGACCATCAGGTATGGCAATTAATCTCTGGCATCCCACATCCAAGAACCCCACCTTCTGATGACCCACATGTCAACTGAGCCACATGGAAGTGGGACAGACAACTGGAGGCATTCAAGTGAACTTCCTTTGTTTATAAATCCAGAATAAAGATGTTTGCGAGGAAGACACTGCTCTGTGTTGATCAGGAACTCACACACAGGTAACTAATGTACAACCAAGGAAGAACAACTTGTGAGCTTGCTACATCTGGGAAGCTCTTGGAATGGTGCTTGGCACACTGTAAGCTCCAGATAAGTGTGCTGTTATTAAGCACCAACTATGTGCTATGCACAGTGCTGGGTGTAAGGACACAGTCCTGCCCTCCAGAAGCTCATAGCTTGAGGGAACTTGGTTGGACCCCAGAGTCATCTAAACTCTCTCACAGTGGACCACCCCCACCCCACCCTCCGGCTCGGGAAAGAAGAAAGCTTTTGAATTGACCTGGTGGCCTGAGGAACAACCAGCAGCTGAACTCCCACAGCCCAAGCCCTGACCTTGGCCAGTCCCATCCTGCCAGCAGCAAAAGAGGCAGAAGCACAATCTCAGGAGAAGTCCAGGCTAAGGAAGACAGCAGATACGCAGCTTCTCATCACCAGAGGTGACAGATGTTCTTCCAGCCCCTTGTCTACCTGT